TCCAAAACCAGGCTGGACAGGGCTGGGAGCACCCTGGAATTGTGGAAGGTGCCCCCACGACAGCGGTGGGATGGGATGAGCTTTAAGATCCTTTCCAACCCAAACCATCCTGGAATTCCCTGATTCTCCAAAAGGAAGTTCCCGTGACCCCCGGGCAGGGCTGGGACAGGGGTTCAGCCCCCAAAAATCAGCCGGGGCAGGGTTCAGCCCCCAAAACAGCCGGGGCAGGGTTTCAGCCCCCAAAAACAGCCGTGGCAGGGGTTCAGCCCCAAAAAACAGCCGGGGCAGGGGTTCAGCCCCCAAAAAACAGCCAGGGCAGGGTTTCAGCCCCAAAAAACAGCCGGGGCAGGGGTTCAGCCCCAAAAAACAGCCAGGGTAGGGGTTCAGCCCCAAAAAACAGCCAGGGCAGGGTTTCAGCCCCAAAAAACAGCCGGGACAGGGGTTCAGCCCCCAAAAACAGCCGAGCCAGCGCTCGCAGCAGCACCGCGGGATGCGGCTCCTTTGGGGACATCCCAGGGTGACAGCGGGGACACGGGGGCTCAGTGCCACCCCTCCCCATGCCAGGCTCCGCAGGGCGCTGGCACAGCCGCTCTGGCTGCCCGGACCGGGTTTCCCCTCCTGTTTCCACAGCAACACCCGGTGACTGATTTCCTTCGATGACTGATTTCCTCYGCTGCCCTGCACACGGGGCGCGGGAGCTCAGCCCCAGCGCATCACCCCAAAAACACCCCAAAATCCCATCCAGAGCTGCCCCTGGAGCCCTGGAACCCACCCTGGAACACACCSTGCACCCAGAGTGGAGCCGGCAGGGTGCCCCCACCCCTCCACAGTGACCCCAAAATAACGCAGGGACCTGCGGGGCTGCATTAATTAAAAGTGCTGCATCCAGTGATAATTTCAGGGCGCCGAAAATCCGCTGAAAAGGCATCAACGCACGGGGGGTTTTTGTAATTATCACCCATTAGTCACCGGCGGCTCACTGGGGCGATGCTGCCGGGCATGTCCAGCCATCCTTTTGTCGGGAAGGCTGATAAAAGAGAATTCTGCGCCAGGAACGCACCCCGGCACAACCATCCTCGCTTAACAGCAGGAGAAAGCAGGGTGGGGAAATTAATTCATAAATTAAGGATATCACTGCAACATTTCCCTTTTTGCGGCTGGCTACATAAAAGCGGCGTTTGCCCACGGTCGCCCCACAAATCCCAAATTTTTTAACTTCCCCAAAACTGTGAGGGGAGCTGAAAAATTTGGATGTGGAGCAAGGGGAGAAAGGCTCTCTGTCAGCTTTGAAATCCGTGCAGAGCAGCAGGGAGCATCCCGGGGAAAAGGCCAGCCTGGGTGCCTGGGATGGGAACTCGGGGACCTTTCCCTCCCCTGGGGACCTCCCCCGTGCCGAGATGAAGGATGAGAGGAGGTCAAGGCATCAAAGGGTCGGGGGATTAATTATTAAATTCATTAAATTCATTAAATTCGTTCCCGTTTAGCCTTTACCGAGCACAGCCCACGGGGAGGGGAAAGCTCCCTCCTCTCCTCACCCCCCCCAGACAGGGCTGGCCGGCGAAACAAACCCTTCCCCATCTGCTCTGGGGAAAATTCCGGGCTTTTGGAGGGCAGGGATGAAATCTGGCGGCTAAACTTAGCAGCAGACAATGCAGCCCCCCTCCCAGGAGCGGCTCGTTCCCCGGCGCTCCTCCCTCCTGCCCCGAAAATGTCGGATTTTAGCAGAAATCAGCAATTAGGGGCCCCAGACCTGCGGACGGTCAGCGCCCGCCTCGCCGGGGCCGAGGGATATTTTTAGAGGACAAAGGGAATTCGCTGGGAACATGCAATTATTGCTGGAGGAAAAGGCGTTTGGGTGGTTGAAGATGCCAGGGGAGGGGGGCACAGCCCCAAATCCCCATCCCTGTCCCTCTCCCGGGGTTTTTAGAGGAGGGATGGATGGCAAAGGCCAGCAGGATCCAGGGTTACAGCCCTAAAACAAGGCATGGCTGAACCCAGGGCTACAGGGCAGTGCCAGGCGTTGGGAGAAACCCCTCTGGAAGGTTTCCTGCTGCTGCTTCCCCATGGAAAACAGGGTTTTCACAGAATCCTAGAATGGTTTGGGGTGGAAAAGACCTAAAAACCCATCCAGTGCCATAGGTAGGGTCACCTTCCACTGTCCCAGGGTGCTCCCAGTCCCATTCAGCCTGGCCTTGGGCACTTCCAGGGATCCAGGGGCACCCACAGCTTCTCTGGGCACCCTGTGCCAGGGCCTGACCACCCTCACCAGGAATTCCCAGCTCCAATATCCTATCCATGCCTGCCCTCTGGCAGTTTGAAGCCATTCCCTGTGCCCTGGCACTCCACACTCATCCCTGTGAAAGGATAAATACACAGAGGGTCAAGAAATGCTCCAGAAGCTGGGAATGGGGACACGGGAAAACTGTGGAGGTGCCTTCCCCAAACAGCTTTCCTTGGCTGGGGAATGGAGGTGCCAGGAGCAGCAAAACCACAAGGAATAGAACCGGCCAATTATGTTCTGATGAGTTTAATTAGTGCTAGTGGGAGATGGGAGGGGGTCCCGGGTGCTGTGGAGGAGAAAGGAGGCACAAAACCTCCGTCAGACACCGGGGAATCCACGTGCTCCACCAAAAACTCGGGATCCCGCTCAGAATCACATCTTGAATCAAACAAACGGAGCTTCCTCCTTTTGGGAAAACACYCCTGGGTGCTGCTCCCGAACCCCCATCCCGCTGTTCCTGAAAAAACCCTGCTCCAAGGATTGGAGGAAAGGGATTAAAGGGAAGCAGAGGATGGGATCGCTCATCGCAGTGACTGCTGCCATCCCCTGCCCGAGGTGGGGCAGGATTGGGGTTCTGGGGGGCTGGGGACAGGTTCTGCCCCACAATGAGGGGTCCAACCCTTGATCCCCACAGCTCCTGAAGGCTGGGGACCCTCCCTGAGCATCCCACCGGGATCCTTATTATGGACATTCCATACTCCCATTGATTTCACAGCTGTTCCCGCACCTCCAGAGCGCTGGAATGGGCTGTCACTTCCACAAAAATCACCAAAAATCACGAGTGAAAGGCTCAGCCCATCCACTGCCCTGCCCGAGGCGGGAGCTGCCTTAACCTGCTCCCCGGAGCCGGGAWCGCCAGAGCAGAAAACACACGATAAATACAACGCTGTCCTTAAATTCAGCCGTGCTCCATCTCTCCCCGAAGCCTGGGAGCGTTTTTACATCTCCAGGAGTCAGAGTGATGCAAACAACTGTCACTTTATTGTCACGTCCAGCCGTACTGCAAAAGGCACACAACAAACTTCATTGGTACAAAAGAATTCCGCTCCGGAGGGGGGTTTTGTGTCGTTTTCCTTGAGTTTCGCTTTTTTTTTTTTAAATTTTTTTTTTTTTTTTTTTTTTTTTTTTTGCAACACAGTCACTGGGCTCTCCCATCGCCCCGACGGGAAGATCCTTTCACAGAAAGGACTATTTTTGTGCAGACAGACAGCTCCTTATTGCAGGGGGAACGGCCCCAAGGGCCGGCGGGCACGGCCACCCCCGGCCACCTGCGGAAAAAACCGGGAATAATCGGCACCTCTGTGTCCCCTTTGTCCCTGGCACTGCTGCTGTTTGTAGGGAGAAGCTCCATCACAGCCCTCAACACCAACCCCATAACTCCAGTTTGGGCTGCAGGACAATGGGATGGGGAGGAAAAAAAAGAGAGGTCCTGTTTGAGCCGCCCCCTGCCCAAATCTGAGCAGTGCTGGGCATTTCTTTGCACGATTTATCCTCTTGCTCCGTGTTTCTGCAGGGTGAGGGTCCCACAGAACCCCCCCTGAGCCTTGCAGGAACTGGCAGAGAGGGGAAAAGAGGCTGGGGATGAATTKGGGGGATTTATCTACACTGCTGGTGCACTCACTGCAAACCCAGCCAGAAATGGGGGATGGAGAGGCAAAATTATCCCAGCCTGGGATGTGGCACCCACACAGAGAGGTTTTGGGGTGTTTTATCCCCAAAACCAGAGCAGCTRAGCTGCTCAGCGTCCCTCCAGCTGCCCTGTGTGGATTTAGGGAGGTGAAGATGATTTAAGGGCCACCATCCTGCCCTGCCAGCATTTGGATATCGACATTATTTTCCCATAAAACCCCTCAGGCAGGGCCAGGTYGAGCTCTGGGGTGCCAGTGCCACGGTCCCACAGCAGCTTTTCCACATCCCAACATCCCAAGAGATTTTTTTTTTTTGCACTGTGCCTATAGCTACGCTCAGTTTCTTTTGGTACCAGCTCCCCTTTCTCAGCTCCCTCCCCCAACRTTTCTTATAAAAATAAGATTGTGCTTATTTATAAAATAATTACAATTTTTTTTTGGTTTTTTTTTTAAGAAAAGCTTCCAGTTAAAAAACGGTGGTATATCAAAATATGGTAAAACTTTGGCTGTCAATGGCTAAACTCTAATTAAAAATATCCACTACAAAGGCATTGTGCTGTGATAATTAACTCTGCAATGCTTCCCTCGCCAGTACTGATGGCAAATCTCCCACCTGGGCTGTCTGGCTTCCCTAGGACACGCTCAGAAACCACCCTTGGGTTTTCCCAGCACATCACCATCATCCTCTGGCAGAATTATTCCAACTGTGAGACACCTAAAGACGCATGGAAAGCCTTGGGAAAAGAGAACGGAGACTGCAGCGGGAAGAGCCACACAGACAAGGCGGTGGATGCACATTCTCCTYGAGAGGAAAGTCTGTTTTCTCATCTTAGTGCTTAAAAAAAAAAAATTAGCATTGTAGATAGAGTTCGTGAAAGAAGAGAGGCAGATCCTTTGTATGAAAGGTGTTTTAGAGCGGGACTAAAATGCAAATGGGTCTGTAAGATCCAGACATATATAAACATACATACCTCGATATATTTATATATGTATTCTCTAGATATTCAATGTTTGGGATGCATTATTGCAATATCCTTACAGGGGACCCATTCTTTTCCGTCCTCCTTTTTTTTTTTTTTTTGTTTTTTTTTGTTTTTTGGTTTTTTTTTGGTTGTGGGGTTTTGCGCTCCCAAAAAAAACAAAAACTTAAAAGAAAAGAAAAGATGAAAACGAGTTGCAAATGGCTCTGAGAGCTCCCAGCCACCATCCACCTGGCTGGCACTGCTGTGGCCTGACCTCCAGCACGTGTTTTTGGGAAAACTGGGATGATGCTCTGCCCCAGGAGCTGCTGGCTGTGCCTTCCTCCACGGCTGGTTATTGCTTCATTCTCCCTTCCCATACTGGCCTTTAGGGTTATTTACATTTCTTTGGCTTGGCTTGAACAGGACAGTCAAGAGTCATCTCGGGGCAAGGAGGGGGAGAGAGGCCACACAAAAAACACGGGCGAGGCTCCTCCCAGTCGTGGTAAAACAACTCGGTTTGGCACAAACTCCTCCTGAAATCGACCCCGTGGCCAGAGAAATCCCCATCCCGCCCCTCATCCGGACAATCCTCCACCTCCACGCTCTGCGGGGGGAAAGGCGGTGTCGGAACCTCCCCGGCGCTCACACCACGAACTCGGGGACTTCGTCGTGGGTGAGATCCAAGGAGAAATATTTGCTGGTTCTTTTCACAGGGAAGGTGTCCTGGATGTTGATGCACTGCTGGGCCAGGCAGCCGTTGCAGTAGAGCCCGTCCTCRTCCAGGCCGTGGGCGCAGCCAAAGGTGAAGCTCTGAGCCGTGTCCTGGCACAGGTTGGCCAACTGCAAAAAGTCCTTCTGGTAGAGCCGGATGTCGTCCAGGCTCAGGCTGTGCCGGTCTGTTGATGTCTTGGGTTTCCTGCACGTGGTCTGGGGAAAGGCAAGAAGGGGCTCAGGAGATGTGGGGCTCAGATTTGGGCAATCCCAAAACACCCACTCCACGTACCTGGGGTAAGGAGTCGGTGCTCTGCCCACGCAGCTTCACCACMGTCTCTGAGGAGCTGGAGGTGGAGGAGCTGATCTCCTTCACGATGAGCCCTGAGYGAAGGAAGGAGGAAGAGGAGGGTGCAAAGGTTATTTCGGGGTGGCTCAGCTCTCCTGGGGTCCTCTCCTGCTGTCCACGGGGACAAAAGCACCCTCAGCGCAATGCGGTGCCTCCAACCCAACAGCTCCACTTGCAACCAGAATTGCTACAAAGCATGGCAAATTTACCCCAAAATGGCATCCAAAGCCACCCCCAGGGAGCCTGGCATCCCAAAGATCTCCCAGCAGCTCCCAGTATGGAGCTGGAAATGCAGAAAACCTTCTGGGTACAGGAACAGCTCCAGAGAAGATCACAGAGTCCAACACCCACCCATGTCCCCAAGTGCCACATCCACAGGGCTTTTAAATCCCTCCAGGGACTTGGGGCTCCACCACTGCCCTGGGCAGCTGTGCCAGGGCTGGACAATCCTTTCCATTAAGAAATTTTCCCTAATACCCAATTCAAACCTCCCCTGGCACAACTGGAGAGAGGTTCCTCTATTTTTTACCCCATTTCTGCTCCAACCCCTTGGGCGAACGGCTTTTTCTGGCATCCCAAATGGACACCWGGGGCTAATTCCCCTCTGCCAACCACCAAAGAATGACCAGGGCTGRAAGAAACCTTAAAGATCATCCCATTCCAGCTCCCAAAGGTGTGACTTTCCCTGTGGGATTGGGAACAGAAGCRGCCACCACCTTACCCGAGTGCCCGTTGAACTTGCGGGACAGCAGCATGTCCTCGGTGATGTAGACGCACATGTCGGGGCTCACCTCCATCTCCCCCGCCTGCTCCAGCTCCCGCGGGTCATCCACCAGCATCTCAATCTCTGCTGGACACCAGACAGGTCAGGTTTGTGCCTTCAGAGCACCCTCCAACGATGAGAAAACCCCGAGGGGCACGGCCTCACCGTCATCCTGGGAATCCTCCTCCAGCCGGTCCTTGCCGCCGCTCTCCACGCCCGAGGTGTGCGAGCTGCCGTGGCTGGTCATGGAGCTGCACGTCTTGAGCTTGCGGTGGGTGGTGGCTCCAGAGAAGCCGTCCTCAGGTCCCATCTCGCGGGGTTTGGGGTCGGCCTCGATGCCGGACGTGTGGGAGCTGCTGTGTGAGGCCGTGGAGTGCCGCGACAGCCGCTTGTGCCGGACGCTGCCGGCGCTGCTGCCGCTGGCRCGAGAGCGCTTCTCCAGCTGCTCCATGTCCAGGTCCAGCGTGTCGCTGATGTAGGATTCCCGGTATTGCTTTTTCTCTGCAGGAGAGMACGGAATTTGTGTGATTTCAATGATCTCTGGGGGAAACTGGACGCCCAGAAGGGCACGGACACCCTGGCACGCAGAGGAATTGTCACCCGAGCACGGCGTGGTGGCACGGATGGAGATGGCCCTGCCTCGGTGGCATTTGGGGATGGTGGGGCAGGAGCCCCAAAATTTGATGTGTTCTGGGCTGGGAACCCTCCAGTGGAGGAGGAGGAGGGAGAAAAGGAGGAGGAAGAGTTGAGGAAGAGGAGAAAGAAGAAAAATAGGAGTAGGAAAAGAAGAAAATTAAAAAGGATGAGAAGGAAGAAGATGAAACGAGGAAGAAGATGGGGAGAAAAAGAGGAGGAAGAGTTGAGGAAGAAGAGAAAGAAGAAAGCAGAAAATGAGGAGTAGGAAAAGAAGAAAATTATCAAGGATGAGAAGGAAGAAGATGAAATGAGGAAGAAGATGGGGAGAAAAAGGAAAAGTTGAGGAAGAGTTGAGGAAGAGGAGAAAGAAGAAAATGAGGAGCAGGAAAAGAAGAAAATTAACAAGGATGAGGAGGAAGAAGATGAAATGAGGAAGAACCTGAGGAGGAGGAGGAGGAAGAGGAAGAGGAAGAGGAAGAGGAAGAGGAAGAGGAAAGAGGAGGATGCAGAAGAGAAAGGAAGATGAGAAGCAGAAAGATGAGAAAGAGGAGGAAGAAGAGGAAGAGAAAGAAGAGAAAGGAGGCGGAAGAGAAACATGAAGAGAAGGAAGAAAATGGAGAATAGGATGAAGATAAGAACAAGGAAGAAGATAGAAGGAAGAAAAATATGAGGAAGATGATGAGGAGAACAAAAGAAGAATAGGATGAAGATGAGCATGAGGAAGAAGATGAGGAGGAGGAGGAGGAAGAGGAGAGGAAAGAGGAGGATGAGAATGAGAAAGAAAGATGGTGAGGAGGAGGCAGAACAGAAAGAAAGAAGAGGAGGAAGAGAAACAGGAAGAGAACAAGAAAATGGAGAATAGGATGAAGATAAGAACAAGGAAGAAGATAGAAGGAAGAAAAAGATGAGGAGGATGATGAGGAGGAGGAAAACAAAAGAATAGGATGAAGATGAGCATGAGGAAGAAGATTAAGAAGACAAGGAAGAAAAAGATGAAGAAGATGAGAAGAAGGAAGAAGTCGAGGCAGATGAGGAGGATGAAGAAGAGTAGAAGAATGAATAAGAAGAGGAGGGGGAGAGAAGAGAGGAAAATGAGGAAGATGAGGAGGTGAAAGAAAAGAAACAAGATTTTATGCTTTCCCAAGAGCTCCCTGACCCTGGAGGCAGGACGAGGGACACTGGGATATGAGGGGTGACACGGACACGGGGCTGGCACCAACACCAGCTGCTCACAGGKGACAAATGCCACCAGGATCCCATAGGTTGCCATGGCACGTACCCTCGTTCTCCTCGAGCCGGCGCACCTGGCGCAGCACGGGCTGCAGGTTCATGTAGAGCCGGTGGCTGCTGCTCAGCAGCTGCAGGAGGTGGCGCGAGCGCAGCGGGCAGCCCGTGTAGTAGATGAGCTTGCGGGCCGAGGGCAGCCCRTCCGGCAGGATCTCGAACTTCTTGCCCTGGGTGGGATGAGGGAAACGTCAGGGGTGAGGAGGAGAATGTGCCCAGTTTCACCCTGTTGTGGTGAGGCTCCTCGTTAACGCCAGGGATTGTCAGCACCCGCTGCGGTCTGTGCCCAAGCGTTCCACAGCCAAGAGATGCCCTGCTCTGGGGAACTTTGGAATCCCAGAGTGGTTTGGGGTGGAAGGGAGCCATAAAATCCACTTACTCCAACCCCTCTCCACCTTCCACCATCCCAGGATGCTCCAAGCCTCATCCAGCCTGGCCTTGGGCACTGCCAGGGATCCAGCCACAGCTTCTCTGGGCACCCTGTGCCAGGGCCCCACCTCCCTCACAGACAGGAATTCCCAGTTCCCAATATCCCATCCATCCCTGCCCTCTGGCAGTTTGAAGCCATTCCCTGTGTCCTGTCCCTCCATCCCTTGTCCCCAGTCCCTCTGCATCTCTCCTGGAGCCCCTTTAGGCCCTGGAAGGGGCTCTGAGCTCTCCCTGGATCCTTCCCTTCTCCAGCTGAGCACCCCCAGCTCTCCAAGCCTGACTCCAAAGGAAATGGTTCTCCATCCCTCAGAGTAGCTCCGTGCCCTTCTGTGGACCTTTTCCAACAGCTCCATGTCCTTCCTGCACTGAAGGAGCTCAAGCTGGGGATGGTGGCACTCACCACAAACACCAGTTTCCCCACGTTTGTCCACGGGAAGTCGTAGAGCAGCTGCTTCTCYTCATCCAAGTTCTGCAAAAAGAGGAGAGGGAGCTCTGGTTGAGGATTCTGGCCAGGGCTGGGGCTGAGCTGAGCCATCCCCTTCGTTCAGTCACCCACCTGGAAAATCTGGATGCCCCGTGTCGTCAGCCCCAGCGTCAGGGAGGCCTCCACTTCCCTTTTGTCCTAAATGGGGAAAAATGGGTTTAAATACACAATTTGCAGCATGAGGTGGATAAATCTGCTCCACCTCAGCCCAGGGATCCTCCCACAGTCACCCCAGTTATCATTCTATGATTAATATGCCAAATTAAAAATGGAGAGTGACTCCAGGTGCAGGCAGAGAGYGACAGGGTAAGGGGGACTGGTTTTAAATGCAAGTGGAGATATTTGGATGAGATGTAAAATTCCCCCTGTGAGGGTGGGGAGGCCATGGCACAGGGTTCCCAGAGAAGCTGTGGAATCCCTGGAAATGCCCAAGGCCAGGTTGGAGCAATCTGGGATAGCAGAAGGTGTCCCTGCCCATGGGATTGAACTGGGTGAACTTTAAGGTCCCTTTTAACCCAAACCATGCGTGATCCTATTAAAACACCTCCCAGCAAACAAACTGCTTTGCTCCAGGAAGGAAAAAAACCCTAAAATGTGTTTCTCCAGGAGGACAATCCCAAAATGAAGCTCCCAGAGATCCCAGAGCTCTCCCACCTTGTAGAGCCTGTAGTAGTGCACGGCCACGTCGTCCAGCCTGACGGCCTCCTTGATGTATTTGAGGTGGGCTTCYGAAGCTGTCAGGGCAAACTGGTCCTTGTGCATGTTGGGCACGTGCTTCAGGATGTAATCCTTGCCCCTCTTGGCCACCACCTGTTTGGAGGAGAGGAGGAGCTGCTCTGTGCTCGCTCAGGGCTCCGTGCCGGCCCCAGCGCTCCTGGGAGTGGTAATTTCAGGGGAAAAGGGGAAATCTGGGGCTTTGTTATAGAGATCTCCAAGTGAAAATAAAATAATTACAGCAGCCATTAATTACAGTTACAAAATAATTGCAGTGACTTGTGGCCAGTGGGATTTTCTGCTGGGATTTGTGCTCCATGGGGCTTACACCATGGGGGACACTTGTGGCAGGGCAGGGACAGTGACACAGACTGGGGACACGGACCTGGGGCCATCACTTCTTAGTGATGTGAGTGAAAAAAGGAGAGGCTGGTTGATTTTGAAACAAAACCAAGAAAGAGGTTGGAAAGGAGAAGGAAAGGATCCTGGAAGATCTTTGAGCTCCTAAAGAGGCTCCAGGAGAGCTGGAGAGGGACTGGGGACAAGGGATGGAGGGACAGGACACAGGGAATGGCTTCAAACTGCCAGAGGGCAGGGATGGATGGGATATTGGGAACTGGGAATTGCTGGCTGGGAAGGTGCCCAGAGAAGCTGTGGCTGCACCTGGATTGCTGGAAATGTCCAAGGCCACACTGGATGGGGCTGGGAGCATCCTGGGATGGTGGGAGATGTCCCTGCCCATGGCAGGGGTGGAATGGGACGGACTTTTAGGCCCTTCCACCCCAAACCACTCTGGGATTCTGGGATCCTTTGAGAGCCATTCCCAAAGGTCTGCACCTGACMATGGTGGGGCCATGCCCACAGGGAATCCCCCCGAGCATCCCTGCAGGGCACAGGGTGGGGAATTCTCCACCAGCCCCACACTGACCCCAACCTGCAGCTCTTTCCATCCTACAGCTGTGGGGTTATTTATAGGTTATTTATATGTTATTTATAAGCAGGATTAACCCCGGGGTTGGGATGCAGCCAGGATGCTCCGAGCAGCGCAGAATCCATGGCTTCACCAGGCTCAGGTTTGTGGCACCCACCGGACATCCCAGTGCCCCCCGTTCAACCCAGCCACAATCTACAGCCTCCTGCCCATTTCTCCATCACCCAAATCCATCCCTCCTTGCCCAAAGATCCTCTTTTTAACAAAATCCTGCCCCATGAGCCATCTCCATCCCTGGAGGGATTTAACAGCCTCTCGGGGACGTGGATCAGCGGTGGCCTCGGACGCGATCCTGGAGCTTTCCCAACCTCAACAACTCCACGATTCCCTGACTCCAACCCACCACCACGCTTTTYCTCCACCCTCCTGGAGCAAAAGGGGCATCAGGACATCTCACCCAGGCAGGGAAATACGCCTCAGGATCGAAGTATTTCCCGTAGTGCTTGTTCCGCTTGAAATCTCCCAGATCGGCTTGCAGGGCGAAGGCAGTGAGCAGGAAATAGGCTTCTTCCCTCAGCACACACTGTGA